GATTTCTTTTTCACGTTGGGTTGGATGAAAAAAAATTCCAGTGCAAAAGAGAAACCCCGATAAAAAAGCCTAAAAACACGCCAAAAATAACCCCAAACCCAAACCTCTGCTTGGAGGGTAGGAATATTGATGTTGTTGAAGTTTTGATTAGGACACGAAATTTTCTCAAGTTTTGGCAAATCGTTTTCTCGGGTGGGCATGGCAAAAATGTAATACTACACCGTGAACAGTGTATTTCACATCACCGTTAGACCAGGCTGGTATACTATCATCAGCTAGAAAGTCACAAACCAATTGTTTGAGTGGAGCAAGCGTTTTATTGAAAAGGATGATTCATTAGGTTTTATACTGAAATTGGTTTAAGTAACGTTACACCATTTTTCATCACCGACATAAGGTTTGTAACTTTGTACTACAAAACACTTTTCTCCTTCTCTACGTTAATAACCTTAACTGTTGAAAAATGATTCCCAGCAGAACAACTCATTCGTTAGCATAAGTGAATTATGGATAGTAAACCATGGCCTATGCTTTTACACATGGATGTATCTACAATGCCGATGGAGCAAGTATCAAATAATTTTTCAAGCATTCGCATCGTAGTAGCTACCTACTTGAAAAGTATATGGAGAGTATTCGCATGGTTTTAAAAACAAACGACATGTTAGCATTGAAAAAGTTCTAATCTGAATTTTCGATTTGTTATTGAAATACTACAAATACTTCAAATTAAAGCATGCTCATATTATGGGTATGGCTAACTCGTGTGCTAGTCAATTGTGTCTTATTTGTCCGACTTGTCTGACTTCTTGTTGCCCTCCGTGTTGGACTTGGGTTTCAGCTCGTACGGGTGAGTGTGCTGCACGCCGCAGTCCTTGATCAGCACGGGCTTCTTGGGACGCCCGAAATCGTCCACATCGACCTCCCCAATCTTCTCCACAACGTCCTGTGAAAAGAGAGGCGGAATTAACAAATGGAAATACAGAATTGAATACGTCAATTCGTTTCCTAACGACCGACACAGAAAAGCAACGATGCGAAAAACATGCTATTGATTTTATAAGTCATTCTTCTCATAACGTTAAGTACCAGCGTCAGCAAGTGACGAATTCGAATGCGCAAAATTGAAACTTCTGAAATGGCATTTTCTGCGGATTTCAAAGGAAAACTCAGAGACAAATAGGATTCCAGTCCCATTTGTGGTACAAAACAGTCCACCTTTTAAAGAAAAATCTTGGAGGATTGCCAACATAAAGTCTCTTTGCCCCACCGAATCTGCTTAGAGATTAGCTTTTGCCGCCAGACATCTGATTAGAGATTAGTTATAATTATCTGCACACAAATCTAGACACACTGCCAAGCCTTCGGGTAATAAAAAAAACAGTGTCACCACACTATACACGGTATGAGAATCCATGCAACTCACCATGCCCTCTATAACCTTTCCGAAGGCGACGTGCCTCTTGTCCAGGAAGCGGGCGGGCTGCAGGGTGACGAAGAACTGCGAGTTGTTGCTGTCCGGCCCGGCGTTCGCCATGCTCACCCACCCCTTGTCGTCATGACTCAGGTCGAAGGTCTCGTCTGCGAAGTCCGCGCCGTAGATGCTCTTTCCTTCACACAAACAAATCGTAGGAGATTATGATTTGAAGGTATCATTGTGCATCTATGTTCTAACGCATTTTTGTCATCATTTCATACTTTGAAATAGCCCCAAAACAAGCTATGTGAGGAGTCTTTTCTAAGAGTAGATAGAACCAGCCAACAATACAAAACAATTAGCAACCGTTTTTTCGTCAGCGACATCAAACTTTTGCCATGGGACAGGATTTATTCATCTTACTGCATGAAAAAATGACCTAAAATTTGACTTGAAAAATCCAGTTTTGCCGCCCTGAAATTGCATTATTGGATGCCTCAACATTCAATGTATTGATAATTTCGGTAGCCGAACAAAGGTTTACCATAAAACGAGTTGAATATTCTAAATAATAGTTTGACAGCTGTAACAGAGGAAATAGTAAGTTTTGCTGAATTAAACATAAAACAAACGCAAGCCAACGTTTGTACGTAACGTCTGCGGTGGCCAAACTCGGGCTGGCCAATGTATTATCCCAATTTGGCTAAATTTACTTTTTTTTGACCCCACGTTGTTAGATTAGTTTGAACCTACCTCCGGTACCGTCACCAACAGTGATGTCCCCGCCCTGGATCACGTGATCTTGTACGACGCGGTGGATGTAGGTGTTCTTGTAGCCAAATTTGGGCTGGGTAAAAAAAATGAACCAAAGGAATCAGATGATGGACCCCACAACTGATGGCAGGGAAAATGTCTAGTATCCAAGACATCTTAAAGGCACCCAATGAAATTTCTGGGCGCTGAAACAATATTTTGGATGAGGAAATTCATCTGATATTGACATTAAATTTTTAATTCCTTCGCAGACTTGTGGGGGCGGCGTAGGCGTAGGCGAAAAACTCTGTGGCAAAACTCTCACCGCGCGCGGCATAAATCGCGTCGCTCCCCGAAAAAAATAACGCCGCCGACATACAACGTAACTCTGGGTAGGACGCTAACATTGTGAAATGCGGTGAGCGACGAGAGTTCCTAGTATTCCGCGGAGGGACGATTTTGCGGCTGAGGGAGTTTTGCCGCGGAGAGACCGTGGCTAGTTAAATGCCATTTCTTAGTACAATGTCGTCACAATTTTCTACCCGAAGTGTTTGATTTATCCCAAAAGAAAGATACGTGAGTTGTTTTTTGGGGGTACCACCCATAAATAGCCAGAAACCAGCCTACGCCATCAAACAAGGGACAAGGTACATTTTTCCATCAGCGGCATCGAATTTTTGCCTCACAGATGTCAGTATGCTACCTAATTATAATGGGATTGATTCAAAATATTACATTAAAACACTGGCCGGAAAATGACTTTGATATTGCATTGGGTGTATTTAATCCATTCATTTTATAATATAAGTGCTCAGTAATGTATAGACTTACGTCCATTCTGTAGTTTCCCCTTGCCAGAGCTGCGAAGTTCGCTACTGTGATGGGCGCCACCTCTCCGAATAGCCCGACGACGAATCGTCCGATAGGTTCATCGTCGATCTCCACGTCGAACCAAGCTTTCTTGGTGACCAGAAGCTTTGGCTCTTCCTCCTCCTCGCTATCCTATTATATATATAAATATAGTAAAGGTGTATTGCAATTAAACGCGATAGTACGAATATTTATTTCAAAATACCATATACACCGGGTACCTGTATATACAGAATACATAGAGCCTGTTCTGTGGCAGCTGTTACTTAGCCTCTACCAGGCTTCGGGAGGCGGCTGAAAAGGGTAGAAATCGGCCAAATAGAGAGATAGCATGCCAGGGGAGTTTGTCTGCTGGGAGAGAACATTTTGCCGCACCCCTGGCATGTTATCTCTCTATTTGGCCGATTTCTACTCTTTCCAGCCGCATCCCGAAGCCTGGTAGAGGCTAGCTGTTACTAAGTGTAGTACCAAATTCCTGGAGCAGAAACATTCATGCATTTGTCACATCCTGGTTGAAATAATCACAACGGTTGTTCCTGATGCTAAAAGTGTTCCATACCTTATCCTTCTTGTCTTTGTCGTCCTTCTTGCCTTTATCGTCAGAAGCGGCGATGGTGTGTGTCACAAGGCATAATCCTAGGACCACTGCTATCGTCAGTTCGAACAGCTTTGCCATTTTAGATTCTGTAGTGTATTTGGGGAAAAGCATATCCGATTAGTAAAGGAGATAGTTTTGTCAAGTTAAAAACTTAAAAACACTAAATTCGAACCTGAAGAGGGACGTCCTGAAAACTATAATACGGAGTAGTGAATTATGATGTTAGATTGTTGATTTGTAGTAGTTGCACACGTGGACACTACATATCACGTGTGAGCACAAAAAGATCAGAAAAAGTTATCGATTTTTTTCACTCCACTGAACACGTGGCTCGCCACGAATACAGCCATGGGGGGGGGGGTACAACGTACTACTAATACGTCTAGTATTTAAATCCCGCTTTAGTTCACAATTGTGTTTTAGTCCCTGGGTGTTGACTATCGTTATAATTGCTGTGCAAACGCTACAACACACTCTCTCTACATGTGTTTAAGGTAAAAAAAAATATTTCTTTAAACTACTGAACACATATGTTGGCGTATGCAACTCCGGTGGTAGGCGTTACGCGTTACTATATTCAGTCACAACCGTCTTGTTATGAGGTACTTTGTACATGTACATATTCATGTGTGCGCGTTCTTTGTACAGTGTCCGGCATTGCAGGGAAAATCAAGAAGATGCTAACTATAGGCAAGGTGGATACATGTAGAATAATTTTGGAACATTTGACAAACAATTACGAAGAGCCAATGCTTAATCGGGTTGTTTCATTTTTAGATGACCTGGCACTTGTTTGCGAAACAGTAAAAAATACACATTGAGAGCGATATGTAAAGAAAGTACTCACCAAGTATCTAGTGGATACAGCAGGAAGATGTTGAATCCAGTTGGGACCGGTGGTTGTCGGTTCAGATGTGGTTATGTAGAAGTGACGACGTGTACCGGGATCAGCTGTCTTAATGAGCGGTAGTCCTGACACTCCCACCAACCAGAGTACAGCAAGCTGTCACTGGGTATCTTATCCAGTACGTGTCAAGAATGGACGTGGTCAGGAGGGCAGTTATGCGGAACACGACGTGGAAACATATGGAACCGTACACGTGGGATTTCATATGTTTCCTGTCGTTTTCCATAAATATTAAGTGACAAAAGACATACAGACAGCTGTAAAAAAATACCCAATCACAATGTGCGACGTGCGACGATGCTGCATTACCCGAGGTGACAGAAATTAGTATCCAGTGTAATTTCAGGGCGGCATGGCAAAAAAAAATTCTGGATGAGGAAATCTGTCTAGTATTGACTGGCTTTTCATAGCACATTTTTGTCATCATTTCATAGATCTACTTATCATGAAGCGTTGGCAATAGCCCCAAAACAAGCTACGTGAGGAGTCCCTTTATTTTTTGGTACCACCAATAAATAGCTAGAACCAGCCTACAACAGGAATCAAGCAACCGTTTTCCGTCAGCGACATCACATTTTTGCCTCACAGATATCAGTATGGTATGGGATAGGGTTGATACAACTTACTACATGAAAAGAATATAACCAGAAAATAAATTGCCTCTTAAAATCCAGTTTTGCTACCCTGAAATTGATTGGGTGATTTTTAAAGTTTCAGCAGTATACATGTAGTCATGTACAAATCTTGCAGGTACAAATCTGTAAGATTTCGTCACTTTGGCGCAATTCATATCTATGTTTCAACTGTACGATTTCTCCCTGCAAAGTTGGCAATTGCTTGCAATTGTCCCTTTCCTGTATCACTCATTAGAACTAGTAGTAGTAGTAGTAGTAGTAGTAGTAGTAGTAGTAGTAGAATGGTTTGTTATTACAAGAACAAAGAGACAAAGTACACACAAGCCTCCTGGCAGCTATGATGGCTGAATTGCGAGGCTTATTCAAACATCATGTTGCGAACGAACTTTGTACATTCATAAAATCTAAAAATATAGTTGAATTTAAAAGCGAATATTTAAAATCGACATACAATAAAGCTGTGTGGAAAGTGGATAAAAACACAGTGTGGAATTACTGCTACTAAAACGTACGAGTAATAAAAGTTCATGATCTAGAGTTTATTTAGTCGTTTGGTCAGGGCAGGAATCCCACTCGTCACTACCCTCTACCAGGCTTGGGGAGGCGGTTGGAAAGAGTGGAAATCGGCCAAATAGAGAGATAACATGTCAGGGGAGTTAGTCCGCGGTGAGAAAACAGTTTGCCGCATCCGAATGCAGTTTAACGACCTGGCTTTTATTGATTTGAAACTTTTAAAAAGCGAACAAAAAATTTTATCCAAGATTGAGAACTTGCAAATCAGTATACCGCATGAACCATGGAAAAAATAGAAGATAGAAAGTTAAGATTTTTATTGTATATTCTTCGATGGCACCCTTGTCAAATAAAATAACACAGTACAGTTAATATTTCTCATCATTATTTGTGCAAAATCTTAACAGACAAATTTTGCATACGGATAGTTCAATGATTCGCGATGTTGTCTGCCCAATTACCTAAAACAAAGACAGAGCAAATAAGCCAATTGCGCGCATCCCCGATGTGGTTGGTCTCGCCCAGCTGACGTCTCACCGGGTCTACTTAATCCTGGTAACAGCTGATCGTGGAAACATGACCGGGGATCATTTCAAATATGAATATTTTACAGTCATCAAAATTCCCCTTTTTAGCTACACCACTCTGTGGCTTGATGTAATTTTTCATACATCTTACGAGAAATTGTCGAAATGATGGATTTGGAATAAAGAGACAAATAACGATGCGCAAGCTATCTGAAATTTATCTGCTAGCCAACATGACAGATTTCGATTTGTTTCATATTTCTTCACTAGTGACAGTGCGGCCCTTCTTTTTTCCTGAGGGCATTTTGGGACATCTTTGGTCGCCGCGTGTGTTACCATGTGTTACATGTCGTGAGCACCAGGTTAACCGCTTTCTTGGCGCTACAAGCGGCCAACAATGATTGGTCCAGACGTAGTGCCACTCGTAATCGAACATAACGTTCAACCAATAGAAGATCACCACGCAAAGAGAGGCCTGCGTCTGTTTCTTTCAAATTTCATTTCAAATCTTGAACAAGAAGCCATAGGTGACAATCCTCCGTAAAGATTTATATATTTCAACAAATACAATCCCAAGGGTCAACGCCAGACCTACTGTGCAGACATTGTAATTAGGCAACGGTTAATACAATGAGGGCGCGTCACAAGCATAAAACATAAAAAAAAACTAAATCCATTACTGCTCCCACTTCCTTTTACATTTCAACTCTCAAGTAGACGCCCCAGGCCAAAGTCGGGGTGCGAACATTATAATATTAAGGTTTCCCCCGACAATAATCACGAAACAAGCCTGACAGACGATCATATTTACCGCCCCGAACAGCACCACGCCACTGTCCCACCTCCGGGTTAAGTGACGACAAAATCACGTCGAAAATGCTAAAAAAAAATACGCATAGAAGCATGTATCTTCTCCATAGAATCTTGAAACAATGCATTTCTCCACTAGAATATCGATGTGTGGTTCTGGAAAATAGCATTCTAGCGCTTATATCGCACACAGAAATGCATGATCAGCGCCGGGCGTCATTGCCTGTAACTGTTACTGTGTGCTTGACTTGACTTCTTCTTTTACCGAGACTTGGTGACCATATCGACGATAGTCACAGGAAATATGTCCATTTATTGAAGTTTAACTTTATTTCCAATTGTCCGTATTCTTATCTAAACATGCTATGGACGATTGATGTCGTTCCAAGCACCCATGCC